GTCAGTTCTCCCACCGTATTATAGAATTGGCGACTTTATTGGGGGAAATAAAAGTGGGGTTACCTTAGAGTTAGATCACATTTAAAAATGCTTTACTTGCTTTATTTGTATGCTTTATATTTCGGGGTTTTGCTAGGGTTATTTTTGTAAAGATCTTATACCCGAATCTGGGGCATTTTAGGTAAGTAGCAATAGATCATGAAGATTGTACGGTGTATATCGATACGGTTGAAGTGATGGCTACGTTAGTGCGACACATTGGTTGGTGCCGGTGTCCCTTGAGTTAAGTCAAGGAGGATGTTGGGATGTCGTGTGGTGTCATAAAGCACTAACTGATTGTAGAATCTTAGTTGACACAACTTAGCCATTGGAAAGTAGTGAGATAGCCGGCTTTGGTGCAGACTGAAGTTGGTTGATACTCAAAGCTACACTCATTGAGATCGGACTCTCAGGATATTTTGGTCACAAATCATATGCTTGTGCTGAAATAATGCTTGGGAGAAAGATTAGTGATATAGAGGCTCCTAGAACCCGGTTACTTCTTTTAGGACAGGTTGAGCCAACTAAAACTTCAAGAGGGTACTTACCTACAAACTCCATGCAATCTTAAACTTAAGGCCTTGCGTGCTTTCTTTTAGGACAGGTTGAGTCAACTAAAACTTCAAGAGGGTACTTACCTCCAAACTCCATGAAAGCACATATTCAGGGGGAGCATCATTGAAGTACATCATCACATTTTTGCCATCATAAAAAATGGGGAGTTTGTGTGTGAAACTTGGTCTCTTAAGTATTTTTAAATGATGTCAAAAATACGAGAATCTTGCATTTTTATAGTTGGATATTATCTCTGATTTTAATGTGGTACTCTGATCATTTAGAAGTCATAGTTTGTTTGAGTATCATTAAAAGTCATTTTAAATTTGAGTCAAGTCATTAAAAAATGTGTGCACAAATTTTTGTTGCATGTGTCGACACATCCGCTTTTCAGATCGATACGTGCAACTCATTTTTTAAGCTTCTAGCCTCTGTAAGTCTCAGTTCGACACATGCATTGTATAGGTCGAAACATACAGAAGCATTTATATTATTGTAGAAATTCTTACTTTATGTTTCGACACATCCATCTTTCAGGTCGACACATTTGTTATCATTTTAAAGCATGTAGCCTCTGTCTTGGTTAGGTCGACACATAGCCTTGCACAGATCGACACATACAGCTTCAAAATAATGTATGTATCGATACATACGATATATAGATCGACACATACTGATTGTTTGAACAATTTCTTAAATTCCTTTTAAATCCAAACAATGTCTTTTTTGCCCTATTCATTCTAAACTATAAATTCATCATTCATGCATCATTCTTAACTTGGTGATATCATAAAATTAGCCTATATTTCTCTTCATCTTCAACCTCCAACTTATGCATACACGCTGATATTATTATATTGTGATGATGTTCCGTTGGGGTTTCATCTAGATGAGGATTGATAGTGTCCAATTGAGTATTTGATTGAGCTTTGTAGGGGTCTTTATCCGAAAAAAACGCGAGTTTGTTCTCCAATATTATTTTTAATTTGAGAGTTTTCGTACAAGACGTTCAAGAGGTAATTGCGACCAAGTGAATTCCTTTGGAGATATAGAATTCAAAAGATCCTTTGGAGATAAAATCGCAAAGGACATAGCGAGAGAACGGTGGATTACAATTGAAGTCTTATGTTGCAATAGTTTGAAAGTGACGGTGCACGAAAGCTTTGGAGATAAAGAACACAAAGGAGTAGCAAGATTCAGATAGTCAATTTGCATCTATTATATCTTGGTATTTCTCAAGATCAAAAGAGTAGAAGGAGTTGAATCAACAACAAACATTGGAGTTGCTCTTGAATACTTCTCTTATATCAACTTTTTACATAGTAAAAATTATCCTAATTCCATTAGAATTAGGCGTAGACGTACCCACTTGTGATGACGAGAGTGGGAAACTGTGAAGACAAATTTCTTGTGTCTCTTTTATTTTTGTTTTTACTTGCTTTGATTTTCATTGATTAATTTGTCAAATAACATTGCGTTATCAGTTGAATTGTAAGAAATTTTCTGAGCTGTTTTTTTATTATAAATCAAGTGTTGATATAGCTTATAATCACTTTTAATTATAAGTGATTTTATGTATCAACACAAATCAAGAAAAAATCATGAAAATTCACGTGCACACCAAGTGTTTGATAAATTGATTCAATTTGTTCTTTTAATATTGTCATTGGAAATAGCTTTACTAGTAACTTGTAATAAACGTTAAATAAATTGTAAAGTGATTCGAGCATATTAATTCAATTGTTCTTATTCCATATTAAATTTGTTTTTAAGTTTGCATATCCGAGTTTCCAATAACGTTCGTAAAAGACGATATTTTTAAAAAGTTTATGTTTTGTTCTTTGATAAAATAACTTTTTTAAAACCAGAATTTTTCTGGATATATTTTTAAAAGGATATCTATTCACTCCTACTAGATATGTTGTCGTTGTCTAACACTTTGATTTTATCCAGAAGGACGTGTGGAAATCTGAAGGTTTAGAGAAACATGCAGCGTCGAACGTGGCACACTAGTGAAAAACCGTAATCGTCGAAATAGTATAAATTAGAATCTTTATGTTAGATTTTAGTATGTTCCCTTTTGTACAAATTACTCATAAAACTCGAAGTAACAGTGTTAGAGAAAAGAGTCATTGAGAACGTACGTATGAATCACCACATTTTAGTTAATTGTCTATCTTTACCAAAAAAAAAAATTATTCCTTTTACTTCTAAATCGAAATCCTTTTATTTTTCTGTACTTTACATAGAAATACTATCATTTACATATTTAATCATAACCTCTGAAAAGATAAATATTTGAAAGATATAAACCAACGAAACACAACACATGTCATAAGATCAATCTAGTCGATCTTGTAAGTAATCAGAATTTCTAGAATTCGAAAGACTAGCCGTTGTTTATCAATTTTCACGATAAACAGATATTTACACAATAACCTGATTTTCTTGACATTTACGCTTTTAATCACAAATTTAATATTACACTAATTAGACCCCTTTAAGTCTTGACTAATTAAAATAATGACCCTAATATTTTAAAATGTTACATTTGTAACTCAAAATTCTAACATTCACAACGGTAGATGCACTTGTTCTACCACCATAAAGAAGAAGTTAAAAAGCAACTGTGTTGCATGCTTAATCAAGGTATCAATCATCTGGAACAACTCCAATGCGTTTTCCAGTCCGATAATATTGGCATAAAAAAAAGGATGGATCGTGGAGGATGTGTGTCTATTATACGTAGCTCAACAAAGTCATGTTTCAGATAAGTATTCAATTTCATTTATAGAAGAACTATTAAACGAATTACATGGGGCTTTGTATTTTACCAAATCGATCTAAAATCCAGGTATCATCAGATACTATTAAGGGAGATATTCACAAGACGACATTCCGCATTCATGAAGGATTCTATGAGTTTCTAGTAATTCCAAACTTGGGTATTGACCCTTACAGTTTTTTCTCAACCTTTTGAAATTGAGTAACGCATCCAGAAAAAGAATAATAGTAGTTTTAATGCAAGGAAAAAGACCAATGCCTTACTTTAGTAAAGCCTTGTCAAAAACTAATTTAAGCAAGTCCGCGTATGAGAAAGAGTTGATGACATTAGTGTTAGTCGTGAAACACTGAAGGCCGGCCGTACTTATTGGGGAGGAATTTTTTGGTGTATTCTGATCAAAAAAAGTTTGAAGCACACTTGTTGCAACAACGAGTTACCACTGCTGATCAACAGAATTGACTTTCTGAATTGGCAGGATACCATTTTGAGTTGGTGTACAAAGTCGGTCCAGAGAACAAGGCAGCTCACGGCGTGATGAAGGGTGTGAATCAAAAAATATTTGTATCTTCTCTGGTTTGGTTTCAGGGACACCAAATACAACCCGAAGTTCAATTAGATCCTTAGTAAAAAAGGTAACATTTGATTTGCAACATAACGCAGATTCTGAGGTCGAGTTCAGTTTGAAATATGGGGCCCTACTCTACTAAAATCTTTTGGCGTTGTTCGCTAACTCCACTTGTATCCCAACATTATTAGAAGAATTTCATTCTGACACCAATAGAGGTCATTCTAGGTTTCTCAATACATATAGAAGATCAACAGGAAATCTATATTGGATAGGAATGTCTAGGAGTTATCAAAAGTTGTGATGTTTGTCAACGTCAAAAATATTCGGCTACTTCACCAGTTGGTTTTCTTCAACCGCTACCCGTCCTTCACTGGTATGGGAAGACATATCCTTAAACTTTATTTTTGGAATTTAAAAGACATGTAGTATTGTTGTGGTGCATAAATTGTTCATATTTGGTCCTTTTATTCCCCTTAAGCATCCATATACGACCAAGAAAACAGCCGAGGTGTTCGCCAAGGAAATTGTGCACATCCATTTCAATTGATAGAGACTCATTATTCATCAGCTTGTTTTGGAGAGAAATATTTCGCTTGCAGGGTCCTGTTTTAAAAATAAGTTCATCTTATCATCCAGAGACAAATGGATCCAGAGACAAATGGACAAACTAAGGTAGTTAATTATTGCTTAGAAGCGTACTTAGGTTCATTGGGTACCATGAGCATCTTGTGGTATAACTGAACATTCCATGCCATCAGTCAAATATGAAGTCAATCACAAGTCTAAAGGAGATAAAATATAACAACATATAATCATCAGACATCAGTTATCACAAGAAAATAGAATGCTTGTGAAGGAAAAATGTGAATCCAGGATCCCTTAAGGAAGATTTTAACAGTATAAACTTTGAGGCAATACATTACTAAGTATCATTTTGGCCTCATTTCTTACTACACCATTATACAGATATTATCAACATCTGTGAAAATTTCAGCTATACTAAGCGCAGCCAACCAAAAACAACATTCTTGTTTCTCATACCTTGGATCAAGATCAAACAATAGCCCGATCGTTACCCTCTTCTGCAGCTGCCAAAGGCTGGAGAGCTTTGAGAGGATTCATAATGACACCATCAATGAGTCCATACTCTTTAGCTTCTTTTGCACTCATAAAATAATCACGGTCAGTATCCTGGTTAATTTTGTCTAGACTTTGACCAGTGTGATAGGCCAGATATCCATTCAGGTTTGCCTTGTGATGCAGCATTTCGTTTGCCTGAGGATAATGAATCGTGATTATGAATTAATGATGCTTGTGCAAGAAATTAATTAAAGAGAACGAAAATGTGGCCTATACCTGAATATTTACGTCAATTTGCCCTCCTTGAATACCACCAAGCGGTTGATGAATCATTATCCTTGAATTTGGCAAGCTGAATCTTTTTCCTTCAGAAATGACGGAGGGAGGATGTGTAGTTAGAAAGAGGCGACTTTCGATTTTACAAAAGTGGATATGATATTCAGCCAAAAAAAATGTGTCCAGTCATTGCAAGTTAAAGGAACTATTTACCTTTGGTCCCAGCACTAAGCAGAAAAGCTCCCATACTGTTCATAAACAGGTCAATATGTAAGTACGGGAAATAAATTCTCTTCAACGAAATAAAAAATTACAAACAAACAATCACCTATCAATCAGTTTTTAGTGTGATTGTGTGAAATTATTCATATTAATGAACATTTCCAGTTCTTAGAACTACTCGTTCATGAGTATGATTAACTGCATTTTTTATCCCTCTAAGTTTTTTATATACTATTTCTCTATAGTTTTATTTAATCAGCTTAAGTCTGCTTATTCTTAAAATCGAACAAGCTTAGTAAATCTTTTAACTAGAGGACCAATATCTGATAGATGCTTTGGGAGAAATGTCAAACACAGCTCGTAATCGAGAAGGTACATAACCAAGAGGGTACACAGCTCTATGGGTTGCATGCCATGTTAGCACAACATCCGTAAACTACTAGAATACAGACTGAAAAGTTGAAGGAACCAGTCAAATAAACTGGGTTGAATGAACCACGGGTTTTAGAAATAAATTTAAGACTAAAATCAAGCAAAATAAAAAAAGAGGATGATTAAAATTTGTGCAAGCACTAAACTAAAAGGCGACCAACAGACTAATCGAGGCTTTCTTTTAATAGTGTCACTTAAATTAGACTATGTTTTAAGTCTCAACCTCTGAGAAGAGCAATTAGGCTATAAAGGTAGACCACAAACCCAGAACTTAGAACAACATCGTAGGATATTATTTAAAATATAGCGCAGTGAGTTTCTAACTGCAAATGGTGGACCATTCATAGCCTAAGAAGCTCTTAGGTATTAAGTTCAAAATATCTTTAGGTACAGAAATATCTTATTCTGCAAATAATGAAAGAAAATAGGTAAAGACCCTATCTTTCATTTTTATTATTTATTGACTTGTTTTTTTCTCTAAAAAGAATATAACATATATCTACGTAAATATAATGCATGCTAAGTATATGGTATTTTGATAAAAAAATATATTTTCTTTTAACCTGTTATATAAGTATGAGTGATTATAAAATGTAAGATAGTATTCTTTTACCTATTTTGTTACCTCATGATTGAAAATAAATTACGTTACTTTGTATGATGTCATATCAAACACTACATGATATTAAAATATTATCAGGTTAATCAGGATTTATCTTATATGTGCATCAAACAGACCCTTAGTTGACTCTTAATTATGGTTCAACACTTGAAGATCAAAACGGTCTTACAAAAATAAATTAAAACTTAAAAAGCGTTAAGAAAGGTCTCTAACGGTAACACCTCATTTCGAATAATTGCTTTCTTCTCATACATGTATGTATTTAGGAGGTGTGTAGTATGATCATGCAAAACGATATATGATCATATAAACGACACATGGTGGGTTGAGATTAACTCCTCTAAGGATCACTAGAACTCGGCAAAACAAAAAATGAACATGTTGTGTGTGCATACATCAAAATTTGGATTAACTTTTAGCCTTTTACTGATGATGACTGGTAACTTGTCAGCAATTACGTAATATTGCCCAGAGGAAGAATGAAATATTACCTAGCCGCCAGTCCAACACAAACTGTGGACACATCAGGTCTGATATGCCTAATTATATCAAATATTGCCATACCTAAGAACAAAAAACAAAGAAAGTGTATAATTTTTTAAGCCTGTGTTTAAATTTTATATAATAAAAAAAATCCAAGATATTACATAAAACAGTTATTACCAGCTGTAACCGATCCTCCCGGAGAGTTTATATACATGACAATATCCTGTTCAACATAATCAGAAAATTGGTAGGTGACTAAGTGTGTGACCAACAATTTGTTTGAGTTACACATAGTAGATAAGATTAAAAAAAAACTAAACTCAGGCTCATAGACATCTCCAGAAATTTAAAGGATCGCTTTTATATAACTAAAAAAATAAGGACAAACCTTATTTGGATTAACAGCATCAAGATAAAGGAGCTGAGAAACTATGATATTCGCCATATCATCATCAACCGCTCCACCACAACGGATTATTCTCTAAATACGAGATCAGATTTTATCAATACTCAAAAACTAAACAAAAACTGAATACTCAACCTCAACCCTAAGCAACATCAAGAGTAAGAAATGCATACATATTGGAAAAGCTGGCTTATAACACTCTGGAAACGCTCCTGAACCATTGGAGGAGGCCCTTGTCCTTGAGCATAGACAGGCGAAGACGGGACATCCAAATCCTCCCTTGAAGAACATCAATTCAAGTCAATAAACAAGACTAAGATAAAAGACAACAAATCATCAATAAGGGAAAATTTACCACCTTATGGACCAAATACCCTTACGCAAACTCCTCTGAGGTCCCCAAAATTCATCCTTATAAACAGCTTTCACAGGAGATTTTAGAGTAGTCTTTCTAAATTCCACAGATTTCCTCAATTTCCTGCAAATCATACTAGGGTTTTATTTTATCCTCTTGTTAGAAATAAATATAAAAATAGGGTTTTATCCTGCAAATCACATTAGGGTTTTATCCCCTAGATAGAAATGAAAATATGAACTTTAGCAGGAATTAAAATTGAAATTGAATAAAGAAGAAAGAAAGAAAAAGGAACATACCCGGAGAGAAGAGAAGAACTGTGAGAGTGAGGAGAAGAAGAAGAAGAGGGGATAGGAGAAAGAAGAGAAGAGGAAGGGGTGAGAAGAGAAGAATGAGACATTGTTATTTGTTGGGTGAATGAAAGAGGAAGAAGAAGTTATCTCTAATATTGAAAAGGAGAGACGGACTGAAGTGTTAATGCGAAACTTGTTGAAAGGAAAATATTACAAACCAACAAATTTCAATTAGTAGTAACAAAAATGAAAGATTTATTTTGACACAAATAAAATTTTAGATATTTAAATATGTAGTTAATTATGTTGATTATATGGTTAACTATATTTTTAATAAATCTTGTTGATTATATGGTTAACTATATTTTTAATAAATCTTGGCATAAAAACATATCACATTTTTTTATCATTAAGTGAACACAACAAATCACAATCTAAATTGTATTCAAATACATTATTTTTTATGTTCAAGTATACATTACTTTGAAGGGAATGAGACCACCAAAAAAAATTAAGATATTCCGAATCAAAATATGATTGAGTTTACGACAACATATATTTTAAATTTGTATGCAATGTTAGAGATATCATTTATCTTTTATCTATTAATTTTAACACTTATTATATTTTTTAGGATGTGATTAACAGAGACACTTCAATACAAAATTTAAAAATATTTAAATCTATAATCTATAATATAAGAAAAGAAGATGTTGTGGAAAACTTTTTTTTGCCCTTATTTATAAATTTGCCACCTCATAAATATGAGGATAATTTTGGTACAAATAACATTTTTTTCAACTAATGATGTCACATTGTCTAATTTCATCTACATGGTTATTCTATTATGCATATGCTTGCTAGGTTTAGATCAATTGATGATGTTATATGATTCAATTTCAATTTCCTTCTATTTAACATCTTACTACTTTATGTCATTTTTCCCCCTTTCTTCTCTCCTCTTTCTGCGTACCCATTTCTTCTTATTCACTTTCTTCTCTTTCTGCTCTTCCCCTTCCCCCATCTTTTCTTTCTCCTCTTTCTACTTTACTATTTCTTCTTTCTTTCTTCTCTTTCTTCTCTTTCTTCTCTTTTTTTTCTCTCTTTTGTCGAATTTGAAATGGTTGTTGTGAAACCAAAAACATCATAACCAGAGTGCGTTGAACAAGAAGAACATGATTTATGAGTGATATGAAGGAGATATAGATGATTCATCAAGCGATACAAATGTCTAAGCAAAGAAGAACCATATCTAAGTTCAAGCGATAAATCTGTTTATGGATTATTGTTTCGATTTCAAGCGAACAAAAAGATGGAGATTTGCTTTTTGGTTGTGGATTTGATTTCAAGCAAAGAAGATGGAGATATATTTGTAGGTTATGATTTCTTTTCAAGCGAAGAAGAATGAGATATGTTTGTGGGTAGTGATTTGTTTCAAGCGAAGAAAAAGAAGAAAAACTATGTATGAGTTATTGATGTGGTAAGAAGTATAACCTTTTATGTTAGTATTCTTTTTATATCCCTTTTTAGTACAATCAATTCAATGTTTGCTTATCTTAGTAGCTACTAATTTAATATTTGATACCATATATTGTCAAAGTTTTTGGATTATTAGTTGTAGTTTTGACTCTTGACTGGGATTACAATAGTATTTTCATTTAACGTGGTTTAGGATAATGAGCATCATTCATCCAAATCAAATGCAAGACAGTTTTATTGAAAAGATTCTCAGTAATAAATTTGCTTGTCATGTGCAGTTAACATTTTGTTTTATTTGGCATGTTTAATGTAACACCCTTCTAAACTCCAAGGAATATTCATAAATAATTCCTACAATTAATCAGAGTATTCACCAAAAGGGCATTACATCTTCATATAAAACATCTTAATAAAACATCTTGCCTCGTGACACGGATTTTCAAAATCATTTAAGATGAATATGTCCTTAGTAACATTAATTCAATACTTCAAAACTTCGCAGCGGAATCATTAGTTCAAAACATCTTATTATAAATTCTTCATAAAATCTCATCATACTTCATGATTCATAAACAGAATTCAAAATAACTCAGTACCATAAAAGGTAACCCAACATCTTAGAAACAAAATAAAGGACATAAGATTCATGGTTCAAACGATCCCAACCTTGATGTTACATATCAGAGCAAGACCCACTTTATTCTACGAAAAGAAAATAGATGCACTCTGAAGCTACCTTCTAATGCTTCGATGGCTACTCCTAATCACCTGCGTGTTACCCACGTGGAGGCAACATTCAAGCATAAATGGTGAGTAAATCATAATCATTATAAAATACATAAGAAATAAATATATTAGATATGCACATAGGCAAGGTGTAGCGGTAGAAATATTTAAGACTAAGTCATTGGATTGACTAGACTTTATACAAATCAAAATAAAAATTGTCACCGCGCTTTATTGTTTCCAAAGGAATGGGAAAAGAGCGAATAATCCAAAAAAGGGGGAAAGATTCAAGGTAAGGGGGTTGGTTATGTGAAGGGAAGGTATTAGCATCCTAAACATCTACGGTACTCCGCATGAGCCTCTTTGTAAAATCTGTATATTTTGGCTATAAAATGTGTTATATATAAAATGGATGGTGGAGGTGAGAAAAGAAATATATTATTTTTATGATTTTTGCACCCGCCGCGTTTGCGAATCTTTAGTGCCTATGTACTACCTTTCGTGCAATAGGGGATCAGGGTACACGTAGTTCCTCTTTTTAAAATTTGAAACACAAAATGTGTTGGTTGATTTTAAGAGATAAGACATCATCGTCATTGTCCGTGTGGAAAACATACTTACTACCCACAATCATGAGAAAGGAGAATTTGTATCATCTCAAAGTGGAGGATCATGGCTTGGATTTTAAAATCAACAATGTCTCACTCAACACCCAAGTGGAAAATATCTCACTTCACTACATATTGTAGAAGTATAGTTGTTTGCATCACTACAAGGATTGACAAGAGCCTTAATCTTTTGAGAAAAGTTTTAAAGATAAAAGTCAAAGTGGCAAAATGGTTTGAAATAAGATTGGTTGACTTTTAGTCTTCTCACAAAAATGTCAAGGTATTATTAAATTGATTGGAGTTTATTTATGAAAATATTTTTGAAAATGCATGGACATAAGTTCAAATTTATTATAAAAGTGGTTTAAGTTCCAAAACAAGAAGAGTTTTCAAAAGGAGGGAGAAGATTTTTGAAATTAAAGAAGATGGGAGGAGAAGAAGAGGCTATCCTAAAGCATAAGGTAAAAGCTAGGGATAAGGGTCATCTAACCAACAAGAAGTCAAGGCTTGACATTATGAGCCAAGATAAAATTCCCATTCTTTGAATTGAAACCAAGCAAGCAAAGATACTAGACCTCTTCAAGTGTATTAAGTCTTCTCAAAAATTAGGCAGAGTAACGGCTGTATACGGGTGAATTCCAGATTACAAAACAAAGAGTGTAATCATAAAAACCTGCACACAAAAACAAACAAGCAACCCAATGTCTTGAGGTAAACCTCAAGAGCTCCAGACAAAATAATCAGATAAGATCACAAGGTCTCTAAAATAGGCCAAGGTTTCTAATCCTAAGTCCAAAAAAAGGCCACTGCTCCATCATGCCAAGGATAGTAACCAAATAGTTCAAGTACCATTAAGAGTTTTTTAGGGTTTAAGTTGGTTATTAAGTATCTTAGGAAAAGGAAAAAGAAAAGCTCAAGTGAGCAAAGTAAAAATGACAAGAAAATAAATGCTCAAATGAGCAAAGATGAAAATGGCATGAAATGTAAAAATGCTAAAAGATAAATAATACATAAAGCATAAAAGAATAAAAAGCATAAAATAAAACAAGTTAATAATTAGTGGTTAGTTGGATGACCATCTTGAAACTTGCATTTGGAACTTATTAGAGGATTGGCAGAATCAAAGCCTCCACACAACAAGTTGCATTTGCTTTTTGTCAAGTATATCATCCATTTGGAATTCTCATAAGTAACATTTAATGATCAACGATGTTTAAGTGATCCGCGTTGACCAAAGGTGTTGTAGATTCATTAGACGATTGATAGAACCAAAGCCTACACACAATGAATCTCAAGGTTATTGGATCAAAGAGATCAAATTAACATACTTGGGCTTGCAATCATAAGTTTGGGCCACGAATGATCATTTATTCGAATCAGGACAAAATTTAGCGCTATGTTAAGCAATCGTAAGTGGACTTATATAGAAGTCGCACATATTTTGAGGCCGGTCAATAGCAATCTATGCACCATTTGTTTTGAGACATGATATAGAGATCATGCTCCAACAATATTTAGTGCAAGAAGAATGGAATGAGATGAAGAGGAATTAGGGTAAAAAAGAAAACCACATTTGAATTAATATTTAATCAAACTATTATTAAAATCATTCATCCATTTTTGTGGAGTTAGACTCAACACCATAGATCCAATGATGTTAATAAAGCCATGACCAAAAAAATCAACCTAAGACAACCAGAAAATATTCACAAAAATGATATAATATTTAATATATGTATTAAAGGATGAAAAATGTTAAAATAAACTAAAAAAACAATGGGTAAAATATCAATAATATTCAAATTAATCAAGAAATGAAAAATAAAACCATAGAAAAATCAGAAATGGGTCCAAATATTTTTATAAAAAATTTAGGAATTTTTAAAAGTCAGAAACTATTTTTAAAAATTAAAATAAATGGGTAAAATGAACAAAAAATGGTAAAAAATAGTAAAATCAGAAACAAAAATAAAATAAAGTGACCAATATTTTTTCACAATGTCATTGGATCATTTCATAATTTTTTCAGAATTAAAGAATGTGTAAAAGTATTTTTAAACATTTTAAACAAATCAAATAAGTGTAAAATTCATAAAAAATACCAAAACACAAAACTAAATTTTGAAAAAATAAAAATCAGAAAGAGAATAATCAAAATATTTTTCATAAATTTTTTAGATTTTTTGGACTAAAAATGAATTTTCTATGATTTTTTTGAAATTTAAAACAATTAAAATATAAAAATCAGAAAAAGAAAATAAAAGAAAAAGATGTGGACCATTGGATGAAAGTCA